CATAAATAAATAAGTTTTAGGCTTTTCGACCATAATTTTTATCATATGATTATAAGTTTCAATAAAAGCCAATTTTGAAAACACGAATCTACGGATCAATTCGTTTGCTCATAGAATTGGTGTCTTTACTTGTGATGAGGCATTCGTTTTCAATCCAAGCGCTCCGGTGTTTGTCTCTGATCTGCCAATTGAACGAAAGCGGACTCCAAATGGTTTTGTCCATCCATTCGGCACACGACGGGTGATAGAACTGGGAATGAACTTCACATTAACACTCATTCAATTCAATACAATTGCTCTTTCAATACCTGATACCACGAGTTGAGGCTAACATTCATGGGATTATATCCGTTGGACACCGATAGGCATAATTGAGGCGACGGATCAAACTCGAGGTTTGAAAAGTAATTGAAATCACCTGCGAATTAAATATGAATTATAATGAATTATTAATAGCATTTATACAATAACTAAACAAGGTGTAAGACTTACCACCCACATTCATTCCACCTTTAATAACCTGCAATTAAATTATAATTACAATTTAGACAATTTTGTTAGCAATTTATGTCATGTATAACACTTGCCAACACTTTTCCTGACACCTCTCCCGACGCCCTAACCATAGCCTCAGGTTTGAATTGAATGGTCTGAATCTGTTCTGCTTTTCTGTCACCGCAATTGAATTTTGGTAAATCAAAGTCCATTTGAGCCGTCATTCTTATGCCTAAAGTCATGTGAACTATCCATAGATTGAAATCATAGATCGGGAAGTAATTAGAAGTGAGATATGGCTGAACTGTAGTGCCGTTGCAATTGCTGGCCGATGTGTCCACTAATGTGTTGCCAAATACGTTGACATAGGCTCTGGAGGAGTCCTTCTTGTGGTAAACATACATTTTGCCGACGTCTATATCTTTGCCGAGAAAGTGAGTGCCGGCGACAAACTGTGCCATCAGTTTATAGTCGGGATTATCCATAGAACCGGACGCGTCGTTCACTAT